CGGCCCTGAAGAGGAGACTCTCCAAGCTCCCACCCCAACAGCAGACAACCCAAATGCGTCAGGGACACAAATTGGTTATGGTGGCTTAAGAAGTTGCTGCCTGTTAGCTGGGCAGGAGTAGCTCTTGATGGCTGTGTGCTCTTAGCCCGTCTCCTTTCTGGGCTTAACCACCCACTGGAAAGGCTCCTGCCAAGGCGCAGAGCCCAAGGCAGAGGAGGAAACTTTTGCAGTCACCACTCAGTTGCACGGTTGATGCTTTGCTTCTTGCCCGCACACAGCCCAGGGGACCCCACAGTACCATCAGGGATTTCTCGCATGACCGTGCGCGTGCGTGCTGTACAGTAAACCTGACGACCCGTCCGCATCAAGCTTACCTTCTGAATGTCCTCCATCACCTCGGCCGCAGGAACAGTAATTTTGACCAGGTTGCCTGGCCTCCCAAAGTCTTGAACAAATTTACACAGCGCTCAAAGTCCGGCCCAACGACATTTCTCAGTGGCAGGGGGTCACATATATAGTGCAGATGTAAGCTGACTTCTTACACAGCATGTCCAACCCCATCGGTAGGCTACAGACCACTTTTCCCTTGTTGACCATAACCTAATATCCTGCATTGGCTGTGGGCATTGGTTATGGGAGCAGAGGGCAGTAGCTCACTTCCAGCTTCGTTTTTGCAGTTTGAGCTGTACGAAGAGCAGCAGTGGCTGAACCCGGGGTCCTGCTGGTCTCCGTTTAGAAGCCACTGCCGTAGGATGTCAGAGCAGTGCCCCACCAGGCGTCTGATGAGCAGCTTGGGAGACAGCTCTGGTCTGAAATGAGGACCAAAACGAGAAGGACGTGGGTGGAGGGGTAAAGGTTTGCATGGATGTTTCGAACAAGGAGTGGAGTCACTGGCCCATCCTGGCTCCAGGAGCGACCGGCAAGGAAGGGAGACTGCTCTCCTGCCTTCCCTCTGCCTCACCCACCGCATTCCCAGGCATTTCTGCCTGGGGAGGAGGAGTGTCCTCTGAACGCTGCATCAGTCCAGCTTGGTTCCAGGAGGGACGATTACAGACACTGTTACCTTTATAAGCATCACTGCAGACAAAAGGAACCTGAAACTCTGGTAAAAAGCTGGCTATACTCTTTGAAGCTTAACAAGAGAGCCTTGAACTACAATGGACTGTGGAGGCACAATAGTCAAACCATTTTATCTGACAATACTTAAATTTGCCTGTGCTGTGCCCTGCTGTTCCAGCATCGGATAGGTTCTGGCTACACAAGCCACTTCAGCATTACCTCCGATTACAAAGTGCTTCCTCTGCTGCAATAACCCACCCGGCTTCTCAGCATGTCTTCATTATGGCAGCGACTCCAGTCCCGCTCTGCAGTGCCCTAGACCCTGGAGGAAGTTATTTAGCTCTCATCCCTCCTTTAAAAGCTTTGCAAATCTGTCACATTACACACAGTTTCTCATTGTAGAAGAAAAGAAGTGCATTTTTTTTTAGCTGATTTCCCTGATAATAGAAGAAAATGGCCTATTGCGGCAAAGAATTTGTCCAAATAAGCTATAAGCCATAGCTGACCTGTAATTAACGCCTAGCTTATTTTCATGTCCTGGAAACACTCTACAAGTATCCACTATTGAAGCATCATTGTACCTTAGGTAAACATGCAGCTTAAAGACAGCAGTCAGCATAGACCACTGAACAATAGTTTCATTTTATATGTTCAAGCTGTCCCCTAAGTTATTGACAGCACCTAAAGTTAGTAGTCTGATAGTAGTAAAGTAGTTAGTGGGATGGTGGAAGAGCCAGACCCTTACCCTGTTACAGCCATTGAGCTTCCAGTAGTGTTGAAGGACTTTAATACATTACCCCTAGGTTACTGCATTTATTAGTCTTCAATCATCATCCTTCCATCTGTTTGCTTTGTTGAAATAGTATCTTTGGTGTCTTCAGGTCACACGACAGGAGCTCCCACATTTTAATTATATATTATGTATACAGAAAACCTAAACAAACTGATCTTAGATCTACCTGAAAGTGGTTTTTTTTTACATATATTGTTACAACAAGTCGCTCACCACTGAGGGCTGCTTAACTCTATCACATCTTCTCTTGATCTTCCTTTGCCCAAGTAGAAGAGTCTTTAGGCCTTCAGAGACCCCCATACCTTACAGCCTTATCTCTTCAAGGACCTGGAAACCTTTCAAAGGCTTCTGTTCTTTTCTCACAAATTTTATTTTTAGATAAAACAATAAGCAACTTTATGATCTTATAGCTGTAGATAATTTTTTAGGTTTTAGCCTCTACTTCTTGATCTGATACATGGCTTCAAGAATGATTTCACCCATGCCCATCTTTCATTGCTCTACCTCCCCCTAAGCCTTTGCTGGGTCTTTGAGTGCCTTAATAAGCTGTAGTGGCCCGGACTGGCCTCACCTGAGCATCCCCCCTCACCGCCATGGGCCTGGGGCCCTATATAAGCTCAGCCTAGGGATTTTACTTCCTTCCTGAGATGTGTTGTAGAAGCACCCATCTCTGGTTCAGCATAGCCAGCCTAGTGCTAGACTCGGCTGCTTTGGACCTAGCCAAGCATGTTTGACTTGGGTACTTTCTCTAGACCTGATTCTGCCCTGTAGACTGGCTTGCCAGCTGAACTTTAGACCCACCTCATCCCTACAGGAGTGCCTGGACCTGGAGGCTTTCAACGCTCTT